ATTCTTTAACAAATATAAGTTGTATACTATTGCACTGACGAGAAAGTTTCTTATCCACTGATGAAAAAATACTCTTTTCAGAATATTTTTATTGAAGAGACTTCATTTTGTTGTTACACTGGTTCGTTTATGAATATAAAACAAAACTAACTTACATATGATTCGAATAATGAAAGTGTTTCCTATCTTCTTGCCAATATAGATTTTCTTTGAGCAACTTCCTATTGCTGAGTCATAAGAGTCAACATTTGTCCCATTATCTTTGTATCTGATGCTATATTAAAAGCTGTAGCTTAAAGTTCTAAAAATGGTGTTTTCAATTTAAAATAAATAAATAATGAGAAATCTAAATGGAATTCTCAATTAATTTAATTATTCATGAAATTTAAATGATTTTTATTAAAATTGCGATAGCTAATATATTGAATTATAGAATTATGAAACTAAATACTTATGAAATGAAAATGTCGAAAAAATATCAAAACAAAAACCAACGACTAGTTATTATTTGATTAATTTGATACACTAAATTCAACATAAGATAAATTCATATATTAAGTAAGAAATATATTCTAAATTGTTATTAGTTTCTATGAAGGTTTTTCAATTTGTTTCCATATCGGTCAGTTAGTACGTCAGATTAGATCATTAGCCAAATAAATAGTTCTCACTTTTTTCCTACTTAATAAACAATAAACAAAACGTTTTAGTTATAGGAAATTAGAAAGAAAAAATTGATGAATTTTACTACATATGAATAATATTTCAAATGATAATTGTCAAGTTTTACTAATAATAACAATGAATTCTGATTATATATTACACTTGTTTTATAATAATATATTAAGATCCTCTCAGCATTAATTTCTCAACAAAATGTTCAGGAACAATCGGTACTAATGAAAAAGACTTGTGGTAAAAATCTCGGCATGATATGCCTAATTAAATCGAATTTCTGGCTTGTTTTCCTACTGTCGAAGAAAATTGAAAGAACTCCATCTTTATAAAGAGTACAGAGTTTGGACTGCTTTCAAACTAAAACTAGCTGCTGTGTGCAATTTTTTGTCGGAAGAAATTTTTGAAATTTCCTTCTATTCAATTATTACAAACATTTTAATGGACATGTTGTTTAATATAAGCATAACAAAGCAATTAAATATGAAAGTTAGCTCTGTTCCGAGTCGATAGAATTTATTTCAATTTGTTGCCGAGAAACCAAGTTTTTGGAAAAACACTTAAGAACTTTAAGAAAAAATTTCTTCATCTGAATCTGGAGAAAAAACTATTCTAGAACGGTACATTCACAATACGTTTGTTGACATTGGTAGGTTATCTTTCTGATTATTTAAATAATTTTCATTTGACTAAGTGTTGGTTTTTTATTTATTTTTGTTTAAAATGCTGTGACGTTTCGTTTCTAGTTTACAACTTCATCAGTTGTAAAAATTTATAAGATTTTTTCCAGATAATTGTAATTGATAAAAGCAAATCTTAAATAGTTGAATATAGTTTAACTCAATCTCGACATAAAAATTCAATTAATTTCGATGGAAACATTTCAACATTAAATTTTTATTTGGTTTTACTAAATAAATCTTAAAGGTTGATTATCAATTTAAATTTATTTAAATTATTTATCAGAAATATTTCTACAAAAACTAATCAACTCATCGAAATCAAATTGGTTAATATTACATAAATACATAAAAAATAGGGTGTGGGTGTAACTAGAAAATAGAATACCCACACACCCACCCTTCAGACTTGTTTGCTGTTGCTATCCATACTTACAGATATGATAACTTCATTCGGATAAACCAGAAGATTTGATGCTTGCCTTTCAAGAGAGAAACTAATCGAAAGATCTGAAATATTTACAGAATTCTATTCTCGATAAGTTCTGTTTCTATATAAAGTTTCAAGTCGAAATTCGAAAATCACTTTTTCTGATGCTCTTGAGAGGGAACACGGCATTCATTAAAAAACATACCGTAAAAATGCAATATCTTCGTACGAACAAGCTATCAGTCCGAACTTTTTTCAAGGTATCCATAGTTTCTTTGTACCTACATATTGCACATTGTCTCAATGCAAAAGCGATTGATCAGTTAAGGATCTTGCCTCGTAAGTAATTTATACATAATTGATGTTTAGATTATGTATTATTTTGTCAAACCTCGAAATAACCCTTTTATTTCAATTTCAACTAAGAACTCATTCTTTTTCGAAATACATTTATATAAATAATTTTCGACATAAATATAATAATACGAAATAAATCATTTGCATCATCTGTTGAAAGTTAATATAAATTCCACATGTTATTTGTATTTATATTTTGGTCATAGACATTATTGCAAGAAAGTAACTTAGTTTCAAGATCTCTTCCGATCGAAAATGTCAAACTGAATATGAGATCAATATTTGTGTTGTATCGTTAGTCATCAATTGATAATATTTGTTTTGAAGAATGTTTCATAAAGTTGAAACCGTTATTTTGAGTTTCAAATAAATGACACAATAGAAAATATCTTACGAGATGTCTTTAAAACTATTTATGATTATTTTCTTTTTCATAAGCTTAAAACATATCGTTTTTTCTAGCTGTAACAATACAAATAGCATGATTCAAAATTTTATCGATAAGTTTCGTTATTGTACTAATGTAGTTGAAATGCTTTTCTTTGCGATTCGTACTATTTAGAATTCTGCCGTTTTTATTTCATATCACAACAATGTCAAAGAAAGGTAAACTTTTTCTTTTGTTAGATTAAAATACTCATTACATATACTTCTATAAGTTACATTTTGAAGCATTTGTGCATCAATATTTGGTGTATATTATTTGGTTTTCGTTGTTAATAATATTTGTAAAATTAATGGTAAATATTTAGGTACTAATTGTGAATTTAATGATTGTTCTTCAAATCCTACCATCTTTTCAATATGAAGACAAACAATTGATTCGACTACCGGTAATACAAATATATGTAAGTGTACGAAGAATTTTAACGATGTTAATGATAATGTATTTGGTTTTAATAAATTATTCCTAATAGTCTATATTGATTGAATAAGTAAATCATTTCCAGCTAATGTACGATCTATAAAGCCAAGAAAATTATTAATATGAAAATGTATCAAGATGATGTATAGTTTCATCATGAATTAAAAATTCACGAAAATTATTTAGAATTGTTTAGCTAAAATAAAATTAGAGATATTATAAAACCATAGAAATTTTAAATTCAAATAAATGGTACTATCATAGAAGATAAATTCAATTATGGACCAAACTAAACGGAAAGGACGATTGATATTCTAAAAAACAATTTAAACTTTAGAAAAATTTCATGAATAAAAAAAAAACGAACTTTTCTGTTTGCTAATGCTCGAAATGTAACAATAAATGGATCAATTAATCGTAATTCAAATAATGATACAACAATAAAATTTGTTAATTGTGTAGAATAAATATCCAAAAGTGATTGATCCTGAAAAGTAAAGTGAAATCTAAGATTATCAAAGAAAGAAAAATAACCTTAGATGATGCCATAGTAACATGTAATTGTAAATGAATAAGAAGTCCATGGACGATTTGTCGTGAAATACAATTCCATTAATCACCTTCATGTTGAATACTATCAACAATAATATCATATACAACTAAGTCTAATACTGCTAAAACTAAAAAAAAAAGAATTCAAACAATAATTTATTTTACTTGAAAATATTTTTTTTCTTTTCTTCTTATCATACGTTGCAAGTCATGTTTACTTGCTTTGTGACAACATAATAAGAAATTCTATTCGAAAATAAGTGATAGATCAGAAATACAAGAAATTTTATCAGTCTTTAGTATACTACAATTAATGTGAATTAAAAATAATTGAACAAATGAATCGAGTACAGCAACTTGAAAATTACTTTCATTCGTGTCAACATATCTTTTTTTAGTATTAATTTTTTACTTAAATAAAAACTATGAAACAGAGTAGATCGAATTCATGTTGTTTGTGAAGAAATATTTAAAGATTTTTATTTCAGAAGATGGTGATGAAGGGTGTGGGTATGGCAGTGAATGTTAATATTTTTTTCAACTCACACTCTACATATACACATAAGACGAATGTTTTTTTTTCGACGACGACGACGACAACATGATATTGACGTCCGTCAGATGAGAACAAAAATTAAAAAAATATACGTATATCACTACATAAAGATTGATCGTCAAATCAATTAAAACACACGAAGAAATATCAATTCACGTGTGTGATGTGATTGATGAAAAATCAATTAAAACCGTTGAATATTAAACAATGAACCATAGTGTATATAAAAACATGGATGTATCATCATAAAACAGTACATTCACGTTTTCTCAATATGATACATTACAATGTAATTATATACCCGGGTACATTATTTATTATTATTATTATAATATTATTTACAATGATAATGATATCATTATATTTTAAATAAGGTAAATTATTTGTCTTTATATTTAACAATACTTTTTTTTTTAGATCTACTACGATACAATACAACATTGAGAGGTAGGAAAAAAATTTTTTTTTACATGTTGAGTTGAGTTGAGTTGAGATAATTTATTTCGAGAAAAAATAAATATTGTCAGTTATTATGAGTATGAGTATGAGTACTTTTGAGATGAGTTGAGTTGAGTTATGAATGTTATTCGTGTGGATCAGAGAACTACGTTTTCTGATTCAATAGGGACAGGAACTTTCGTGCCATAGCGAAGCAGTGTAGTACTAGGGAAGGCCTCTATGAGTCGTTGGTCTCTACCGTGTTAATACGGCATACCTTCGGCCATCGTCCTACCAGTCCGGCGTGATCCGCCTGTGGTACCTATGGCATTGACAAGGGATCTCTCCCTTGTCGCGCGCGCGCGCAAGCCAAAATGAGCCGAGAAGAGTCGAAACGATTAGCAATGTGAATAAGTTTATTGAGCAAGTGAAAAGAAAAAAATACAGTTACATTTTCTTTTTTACATTGTCAATTGAGTTTTTGACTGTTTTAATATTAGGATGGTTAGGTGGAAGTGATTTTTTAAAGATAGAAAGTGCCTTTTCTAAAAATGAAAGCGCCTCTGAATATTTATGCATCTTCTCATTTATCGAGCCGAAATGCCAGTACGATATAGCCAAATCGGGATGATTCGGAGGCAGAGCTTTTTCTCTTATTTTAAGTGATTTCTCGTGAAATTCAAGTGCTTTCGAGTAGTCACCCATGTTGCCATACACGAGACCGATGTTATTGTATGAAGTAGCCAAACCGGGATGATTCGGAGGCAGAGCTTTTTCTTTTATTTTATGTGATTTTTCGTAAAATTCAAGTGCTTTCGAGTAGTCACCCATGTCATCATACACTCCACCGATGTTGTTGTAGGAACTAGCCAAATTGGGATGATTCGGAGGCAGAGCTTTTTCGAGGATTTGATGTGATTTTTCGTAAAATTCAAGTGCTTTCGAGTAGTCACCCATGTCATCATACACTCCACCGATGTTGTTGTAGGAAGTAGCCAATGAGGGATGATTCGGAGGGAGAGCTTTTTTCGTGATTTTAAGATCTTTTTCGTAAAATTCAAGTGCTTTCGAGTAGTCACCCATGTTGTTATACGCAAGACCAATGTTAGTATAGGTAGGAGCCAATGAAGAATGATCTTCCGGAAGACTTTTTCTCTCGATCTTCACTGATTTTTCATAAAACGCAACTGCTTCTTGGTATTGTCCTTTATTGTTTTTTAAGGATCCAAGCTGGTGGTAGATAAATGCTCTATCACTGTCACTGGAAGCATTCTTGAGTAATCCATTGTAGAGTTCTTCAGCTTGATTGAAGTGGCCCACTTCGATCATCAAATGTCCCAGTCGATGCCATCCGGTGGATCCATAGAGGTCCTTTTGTATGGTTTTGGTAAGAGCAGCCAATTGTGGATCATTGTCGCCGGTGAGAGTCAATTGAACTTCCCACAGACGACTATTGCTAATTGATTGTTTGATATCATCGACACGAAAAACAGTATGCATTGAAAAAAGGATTTCTTTTTCAGTTTCAATAGCACTGTATTCGTCGATAAGTGCAAATGGAGTAGTTGCCGCCGATATTGTATTTGGATCAATTGTCATGATGACAAGAACACCGACGATGTCTTTATTTTTCTGCATTGTACGTTTCACGAATTCCATAGCGATCTGTTGTTTTGTACTAGTTGACAAAAAATT